TATATATATATATATTTTCTCACCAATCGGCCTCCGTCCTGCTCAGCCAGAGAGGGGAGCAAGATGAGGCTGCTGTTGCTGCCTGTTTGCACAAGTGCTGTGTGTCTGTGTTATCGTGTGGCCAGCTACATACATTTGTGGTGTGTAACAGTGCTCTGTGTGCTCTACCTATTAGGACTACATCTTCAGCTTTGCTACTAGTTGGACTTGGGAACATGGAACTGCAACAACCTCACCCCTCTCAGGCTGTCAGATCTGGCATAATACATATTCCTCTCACATTAACACACTAAGAAGGCAGAGAGGAACCATAGCGACCACTTCCACAATCTATAAAACCATCACTAGTTTTAACAAGTGTCTATATACATTTCAAAATATTTACGTTACTACATATTTAAAAGGCATAAAATATTCAAGCTCAAATTTAATAACAACTCCTGAAGGTTTCTCCTACAAGAATGTAATAAAAATAAATGTAAGATTAATAAGTGCCTCAAAGCTTCATAATCAGATTCCACTCATTTCACTGGGAGCTCTGTCTATAGAAGCTACCAGTAACTTTGGTAAACTTAGATCAAGTAAAGGCAAATCACTTCTAAAATTACAGTCAGTGTCTCACTTCAAACTACTCGTACTCCTTATGTAAAGTTAACACATAATTTTTCTTCATACAGCGGTGATGGTACAGGGTAAACATACTGTTAAATTTCACATAGGCAACTCTAATATTATAATTTTGGTAGATATTATTTTAGAATGACATTATTACCGTAAAAACCTTTTGTCATTGCACCACTCTGAATATCTGAATAAAACTTATACTCAGTTCTACAGAGCTTCATGCTAGAACAACTAATAGAATGAGTCCCTAAAACCCTTCAGGCTAAATATCCCATTTGGCATTTCATGGAAATTTTCTCCAATATTAATGCAATGGCCTAATGCAGTCTTCTGAACCACCAAATCAACCTACATCTGCCAAGCCTTTCATCTCGCATATACATTATTCAAAAGTTAGGACACTTAAAACATCCCATTTATTTTAAAGGGAGAGATACTTTACACACAAGCCTAGTTTCAGAAGGCCTTCTCACACAGACTATAACTGAAGTGTTAAAAGGTGGTTTTATTAAGTAACAGTGATTTTGAATCATTATTAGAGTTTTTTTTCTAAATACAAGTATAGCGAGGCATTTTAGAAATGCAAAACTGACAAACTTTCCTCTCTTTTCCAGATGCACAGCTGTAAAATAACCACAGTACTGACATGTCAACATAATAGACCTTTTCATTGCTCTTAAGGAAAGAGATTACTTACACGGCTTGCCGATAACTAACTTTCCTAATTGGGTTTCAAGTTTTTCTAAATAATCCACGGACAACCAAAGGAAAATGATCATTGCTGAACAGCTACCAGTACTTCTCCACAAGCCAAACCTTCTCAGATCCAGAGTATCCACTGTCAGCTTAATATTCTTATTAAGAGCCACTGTAAAACACAGAATTTAAAATAGCATATTTTTGAAAGGCATAAAGTCATACATTTTACACTAATTACAGGCTAAGATATAAGCATGATCCGTGTATTGAAACAGAACCTGTACATTTTATTCCTGGCATTAAATAAAATGTGTTGAGAATTTAATAATGAAATCAGTTATATCAAGTTATGTAAAACGAAGGTGCTACAGGATTCTTCGTGAAAAAAAAAAAGTATTTTTCCTCAGAATAACCACAGTTAATACCTACAAATATAGAAAAAATACTGCAAATCATGAACATCTATTTGCTTTTAGTAGACCCAACTCAGAACTGCTCACAAACCTTCTACGAGATACAGAAACAATGCAACATCTTAAGAAAATAGACTGAATGCAAATCTACAGTCACATTCCTCTTAGCTTTAGTCAACTCATACATTTTTGTTTAATAAAGCTAATGGTCTAAAACGCTAATTGGAAAAGCTTAATGTTTCACCTCAAAAATACATGTAATCATATTTACTATAGTTCAACACTTAATATATGCAGGGATGTGGGAGGCAAGGCCATTAAAATTACATGCTCAGCTTAAAAGTGCAATATGCTGCTAAGGTACTAATGTTTATACTACAGCACGGATACTTTTATTTATTGAAAAATTGAAAATTTGAAAATTAGTGTCTTTGTGAAAGACAGTAAGATATATTATTATTATGAGTAATTTATAGTATTATTTTAATGCAATACTTTAAAGATACAGTTGAGAGAAGACTAAAGAAAAAAAATTCTCTTACCCTGAACTGGCATCATAATATACTTGCTTGTAAACTGAAATAGGATTAAAAAAAAATTAGTTTGCCTACTACAAATTGACTGAAACAAAGTAAGAATTTTTAATTACTTGCACTTCTTTCTTTATATAAACTGAAAATAATATAGAATCATTTGGGTAAGAAAAGACCCTTAAGATCATCAAGTCTGACCATTAACCTAAAACTAGTAAATCCAATATGCCTAGTTTGAGAAATGACACTTCTAAATATATATTGCAGAATCTAAATGACAGCAAAGTGACCTCTGGAGGTGCTAAGCACTAAGAAATAAGCAGAAAGTTGTGGAACTGCCTACAGGCTCCTTAAGATGATGGACACTTGGAACAAAGTTCAACCAGCCCAGCTAGAACTTAATCTGGCTAAAAGAGAATAAAATATGTTTCTATCAATACATTAGCAACAAAAGGAGGGCTAAGGAGAATCTCTATCTTTTACTGGATGCTGGGGAAACGCAGTGGCAAATGATGAGGAAAAGGCCAAGGTACTTACATTCCTTCTTTGCCTCAGTCTTTAATAGTAAGACCAGTTGTTCTCTAGGTATCCATCCCCCAGTGCTGGAACACAGGGACAGGAAGCAGAACGAAGCCCAAATAATCCAAGGGGAAATGGTTAGCAACCTGCTGCACCGCTTTGACACACAAAAGCCTATGGGGCTGTAAGGGATCCAACCCAAGGTACTGAGGAAGCTGGCAGAAGTGCTCACCAAGCCACTTTCCATCATCACCCATCAGTTCCGGTTAACTCCAGAGGCCCCAGCTGACTAGAAGCTAGCAAATGGGATGCTCATCTTCAAGAAGGGCTGGAAGGAGGGTCTGGACAACTATAGGCCTGTCAGTCTGACCTTGTCGCCAGGTAAGGTTATGGAGCAGATCATCCCGAGTGCCATCACATGGCATGTACAGGACAACCAGACGATTAGGCCCAGTCAGCACAGGTTCATGAAAGGCAGGCTCTGCTTGGCAACTCCTTCTACGGCAAGGTGACTCACCTGGCGGATGAGGGAAAGGCTGTGCCCGTTGTCTACTTAAGACTTTAGTAAAGCCTTTGACACTGTTTTCCCACAGCATTCTCCTGGAGAAACTGGCTGCTTATGGCTTGGACATGCATAAACTTCACTGGGTGAAACACTGGCTGGATGGCCGGGCCCAAAGAGTGGTGGTGAACGGGGTTAAATCCAGTTGGCAGGTGGTCATGCATGGTGTTCCTCAGGGCTCAGTGTTGGGGTCAGTTCTGTTTAACAGCTTTATCAGTGATCTGGACAAGGGGATCAAGTGCACCCCTCAGTCAGTTTGCACATGACATCAAGTTGGGCAGGAGGAGCAGCTGAGGGAACTAGAGTTGTTTAGCCTAGAGAAATGGAGGCTGAGGGGAAATCTTATCACTCTCTACAACAGTAGGCTGTAGTGAGGCCGAGGCTGGCCTGTTCTCCCAAGCAGCAAGAGATAGGACAAAAGGAAATGGCCTAAAGTTGTGCCAGGGGAGCTTCAGATTGGACATCAGGAAAAACACCTCCACCAAAAAGGTCGTTAAGCATTGGCACAGGTTGCCCAGGGAAGCGTTAGAGTCATCGTCCCTGGAGGTCTTTAAAAGACATGTAGATGTGGTATTTACGGACTTAGCTTTTAGTGGTGGACCTAGCATTGCTAGCTTAACGCTTGGACTTGATCTTAAAGGTCTTTTCCAACCTAAATAATTCTATGATTCTAAAAGGAGCTTAAGTATCCCATGATAAAGACTGTCAGGTGCACTATGCCAATTAAGGACACTATATAGAAACACTGAGGTGTTACTTTGTTATGTATAGTAACTGTTGAATTAAAGGTCTTTCAAGTTTCCACCTACATTGCTGCTACATTAAAAAGACTTGGCTAAACAAAGAATGCTTTATAGTCAATTTGACAAGATTTGACACATACTTGAAGAAAAGAGGTTTCTCTCACATTACCACAGTAAGCATAAGGAACATTTTTTTCCAAGGAAAATTTTCACTTTCCACCTAAAAACATTGATTCTAAAAATCTTTAAATTCATCCCTCAGATAATTTTGGCTTATCAATTTAGGAAATGTCCATCAAAAACTTTCATAACTGCATGAAAACTGCTGCACAAAACTGTTGCTTTGTGAAAAGCTGAAATTATTACTACAAGATTTCAAAATGTCTTACTGTAAGCAAAACAAATACATACATGTTCAAACATTTATTTTTCAACCACAATATATAGAATGAGCCTGGTCACAAACTTGTTGAAACTCCTGCAGCTGGTACTCCATCTTAGGTACACCTTCACTTATATTTCTATACCCTGTGAGTAGCATGTTGCCTACACACTCACACTTTTAGTATTGTTTCTGAGATCTTTAAAGTTACAAAACAAGAAATTTGTGTTTAAAAGGCAAGATTAGCGCATAGTATATATCTAAACTCTGATCATTATGTATTACTTTAGTATCTGTACTCTTTCTGAGAAAGGTAATTGGTGTTTATTTCAAGAAACATTAAGTTAGTCACTATTTTCAACTAGAGTTTACTGAAAGCTTCCTCAGTGTTATTTCTGTTTCACTACGGCATTTATACAGAAACTTTACTTCTGTAAATGGGTTCCAAAGAAAATCCCAATTAGCCTTTCTATTAACAGCAATCTAAATGCAGAAGCTAATGGACTGCACACTCCATCATTTAGCCAAAGCAATTTGATGGAACGATAGCAAAACTTCAGTGCTTCCACACTAAGTAGCACTAGCTTTGCGTAACCAGAACCTTTTTAAACATCCTCAAAATATCACCACAAAAGAACAGCTTACCTCAGCAGGACCTGTTAATAACCATTTAAATTTCCCAACGTATAGACTACCAAACTGAACATCCGATGCTGGGTTCATCAGTTTTCTAGGTGTGCTTCCAGATTGTGAGCTGACAGGATCTTTATCTTCAGGTGACTCTATTAAAAACTAGAGAAAAAGTGTGTTTACTGCAGGGCTTTACATGAAATACTTCCCTTCTGTAACCTTAGCAATTTTTTCTTCTTGTTTATAAGAATTTACTTGCAAAGGAAACTTCCATTTAAAAAAGAATCTCCTTTAAAAAGCTGTGTTATTACAGTCATTAGTGACAACGTCATTAAGGGCCTTGCTCCACCTCAAAAATTCCCATTGCCTAGACATAACCTGTGCTCTTTACTAACCTAGCGCCAAGTAAAAATTTAAACAATAAGGCAACAAAAAATATTCCTCTTCAGATATCAAAAATGCAGGATCTAATTCAATGCTTATGATCAAAATGATGCACCTGTGAGAAGAGACAGCAATGGCTCTTCTGATTTGCTTTACGATTACAGAGATAACTCAAGTCCAGGTCAAAGCAAGCAGCAAAATGCTAATCAGGTCCAAAATGGGGCAACAACCTTTATGATTGAATCTCCTTTTTAGATTCAAATTCTACTGCTAGCCACAGAGGAAAGGGAATTTTACCCTATCTATGACCTCTGTCTGCTGTCAACAAAGATTGAAGACTGGATGACAAGAAGAAACTGCTGACATGAACTATGATTGATATAAAACATTGTGTGAAAAAAAGAACTTTTCAAAAACGTATCTTCACCATGTCTACCTCTAGCTCAGGTTACTATTTGACCCTTCCTGTTTTGTAACATTAAACATTTCCAAATGTTTCTTTTCAAAATATGAAATACGTTGTATGTTGCAAAAACACTCAAGCTTCAGAGACAGAGATCTTCTCTGAATACTGTCCAGAATTCTACTACAAAATAAATTACTGCAGCTACTGCTTGTTGCTGAAATTAATAGCACCTGCTCTGAGCATTTCATTTTTGTCCTAGCATGCAAGAAAAAAATAAACATTGGAGAAATAAATTAAAGGATTGGTGTAACAATACACAGGCCAAAACCTGAAGTACCTGGTTTCCGCGACCTCCCATCTTCTCTTCCAATTGCTCTGTTGAGAAACAGAAGTCAGACTGTTGCTCTGGTTCTTTGTCAGTGACACTATCCTGCAGCAGCTCTGCACATTGTGGGTCAGAAGGATCATCTTCATCGTCACTAGAAAGGACAACTACACAGAAAAAAAGAAGTATAAGTATACTACAGTATGCAGAAGTTCAGAATATTTCACTCACTGCAGATCTCAAGACGAGCAAAGAATTGTCTCGCATATGTAACATCAAAGTACATTGCCCAAACCAGTCAAGTTCTCCACGCATCAAAGTGTACGCAACAAGTACTACTTTCTATCTTTATTACCACTTTTTATCCAAGATCCTCAAAATTATTTGACTATTAAAAGAAACTGGATACAACACAGCTGCTTCCAAGAGGAGACAGTAGTTTTTTCTCAGTTTAAGCATCGTCACAATGTATGAGCTTGATTTTCCATAGCCACAAAACCAGCACAAAATATGGACTGGAATTTTAAAATCCTACTGTCTATCCTGATTCTCAAGTACCAGACCCTTTACACTCCAGTACAGGACACTGAGACTGGGCACTGCTCACTAACCTGCCTTATGCATTACAAATGACACAATCTCTGTTTTCAGTCTCTTATTCTGCACCTTTCAACTAGCCAATCAGGCACGAGTTCTCCTACTACTTAAGCATACCCACAGTAAATCGTCAGCAGCACAGACAGAGTACATACTTGGGTCAACTGAAACAAGTTGCCGATTACCCCTGCAGAGACTGTTCCGCAGCTTGATCAGGTACTGTGATGTGTCCATCTTCGATTTCCTGATGGTACTAACTCGTGGTGATGTCACATCCTTACTGGCAGCAGAAAGCTGTTTCTCTGACAAATTTCTGGAAGGAGACTCTGAGCCCGGTTCCTCTGCGCAGCTGTGAGGAGGCCTTAAGTGGTTGTGGGTGGAAATGTCATCAGAATCTCTCTCTAATGCCTGGGGAGTACAATCTGGCACCAGAATTGTATTAGATGTGTGACTGTGTTTATCCTGACAGGGTGTTTTGTGGCCAGGAGACTGAGTCGAATTCGATCGTTGCTCTTTCTAGAAAACAGGAATCAGAGACAGAATATAAGTTTATTTCTTGGCAATTCTATGATGGTTCAGGTCAGTGATCACTGAGACTTAGCTATGTACTACACAAAACAATTATAGGTTAATGCAGCTGCTTCTAGTGCTCCAGTCAGAGTACATTCTCCCTCCTCATGTGCCAAAACTTAGGTATGAGGGACAGCCTTTTCAAAATCTACTACGACCACCATTCAAGCTGAACAAGAAACTACTTCTGATTTTTTTAGCACCTCTCTCACTGACACTGAGAGAAGAAACACTAGTGATGTTCATTGCTTTGCAAATGTGTGGCTTGGTCAACTGGGTGAACAAGACTCAGGAACTACCTGCTTCTGTGGGGTTTTAACCAGAATGTTACAGAGATGCCTTTACTATATTCAGATGCTCGAATGTAAATCCCAGTTGGTACCTGACTGACTGATTCTCTCAGTCTTTTTTTTTCTTCTTCTTCCCTTTTTTTCAAATCTTAATGACAGATGAAAATGAAACTTTAGGGAAGTGTACAACAGCCCAAGAGGAGGGAGAAAGATTACGTTGGCAAGATTTCAATGATTCCAGGTATACTTTGTAATTTTTGTATTGACTTCCCTGATTAGTTCTACACCAGCTGTGAAAGAAGCTTCACTTAAGTAGCCAGATGCCCTACTTCCAAAATCATTTTACTCCATGCTCCTGTCTGAAAGAAACTCTGTCATTCAGCTCTGACAATCTTTCCACTACAACAAGTATAATTTGATGTTGTGGACAGAAGTACATACACTCACTCTTATTGATGCACCACTGAACTACATTCCAACAGTGTAACAGTATCCCTGGATATCCTAATTATGATTTTATTTCCATTGGTGCTATTGAAGTGTGTGTGCATGAGCAAATACATTAAAATTAATGTAACACAAACAAGCACATTAAAATTAAGTGCAACTTACAGACAGAAGAAGTGATTTTTCTGGAATGTGTGCATTACAATCATCAGAAATATGGCCACTAGATCTTCTTTTCCTTTTCTCAGAATCAGAAGAGCCTGATTCCTTCTGACTAAGAGCAGTGCTGTTCACGTTTCTCCTCCTCTTTTCCAGGTGATCACAGTTCTTGTTTTCTGTGGCAGAAAAAACCCACTGTGATTTAACAGGTTATCCTTAAAAACCTTTGTAGTTCTTCATATCTGTTACATATTAAATAAAATGCATGGAAGCAGACACTATCCATGACAGTTCTTTCCTTTTTTAATTGTGTGTGGCTGCCAAAATATATTCTCTAAAATAATTAAAGAAAGATTATTGTTGCAGGATTAGTTAAGGGTATAACCAAATTCATAGCTCCTAAGTAAGAATCAGCACTCCATGCCCCCCAGTCTTTCCTTTATCTTCTGCTGGATGCAATGTTCTCCATTTCCTGTTCTAATGTGCAAAGAGTACTAACCATTTAAACAGATAGTACATTCTCCCTGAAGACTCAGCAAGAGCTCATAAATTTTCAGTAGTAAATACAAATATTGCATAAGCATAAATATTTGAGCATGGTTCACAAACCATTTGAGCATTCTTAGTATATTGCATTCTTGAGTATAGAAGATTTTTTATAAAATCAGGATTTTTATGGTGCAGTAAGGCTCCCTTCAGTTTCTTTTCTTCCACAGACCTGATTCACCATAGCTTTATTCCTATTTAAAAACAGCTATTTGACATATTTTATCATATCTGTAAAAATACAGATACTACATTTTGAGGAAACACATACACTGTGTGCAACATCTATTTTATTTCTGTGCTCTCCTCATAATACTAGACTAAAAAAAAGAAAGTTTCTCAATGCTCTCCAAAATTCATATTTAAACATCAGATTACTGCTCACTACAAACCTTTCTTCTGCAGCTCCCGTCTTCTACAAGTGAAGATGTTATTTTTTTCAGGTTCCTTAGAAGCCTTGGTCAATTTGCACAGAACATCATCTGTCTTTCTCAGGCGACACTCAGACCTGTAAAGAATATTAACTATGACTTATCTTTCATTTTAGAAGAATACTGAACAAAATTCCCAACCGAAACAAAAGTTGTTAGACCACAAACTTCTGCCTCTCTTGTAAGCACGGGAGGCCTCGCAAATGAAATGCAAACTAATTCAGTTCCCACTGTGGAAACAGACAAATATTCTACCATTCTAATGAAATCGATGTTTCTAAAAGGTGCAAAGTATGAAAATCTGGCCTGCTTGACATCAGACACTGAAATATTATTTTGCTGTAAAGCATGACTGCAACAAGAAACCATAGCTAGGAAAAAAAAAAGATATTAGCTAGTAGACCATATCCTCATCTCCGACACAAATGCAGTGGGAATGAGGCAATGTAGTATATTTTTAATTCAGATTTAGAACTGCAAATAGAATCCACTGAGTAAGCTCCTGCAATGAGAAAAATTTTAAATAGAAATTCCTGCTCAAAAGGGCCTGAAACAGTAACTTTGAATGAGACAGAGGGGACAGGACAAGAGTGAGGAAGAAACAGAAAAGGATTACAGTATGAGAAACTAGGCAACCTACACATGTTCAGTTGAGTCTGTAGCTTCATTCTAAAAAGAAGGACATGCAAGAAAGCAACCAGTTGGCTTTGATTTGTTGGGGGTTTTGTTGTTGTTTGTTGGGTTTTTTTCATTTTATTTTTTACCTTTTTCACAAATAAGAGAATGGATTCAGAAAGTAGTGAAAGACAGAACAGTATGACATCTTCACGTTTGAGGTCTGTTCTGGTAAACATACTCTTAACTTCTCTGGAGTCTGGTTACAGATGACAAAAGTCTATATAACTGTATTTTGGCTTCTAGTGTATGCATTAGGATAACATTTAGTTACATGTTCATGAGATATTTTCTCATATTAAATCAATTACATTCAGTATGCAAGACTACTGAAAATTTGGCACAGTTACAGGGTAAAAAGACACTAACCTTCACGACCTTTGCCTCATTTTCTGTGCAAGTTGGAAAAGAAAGATTTCATAGGTAAAGAAATTGAATGCTGCTCTGGAAAATCTTTTCTATTCCTCCTTTTGTCATCTCACTTAATCCAAAGGGATTTTAGGTTCAGAGATTTATAATGTGCCTAACTCAGAACGTTGCAGTCTCCAGTTCACAAATCGCTAAGCAAGCAGCATAATGCCTGAAATCCCTGACAGTTGAGTCTGGATGCATCAAGAACATTATTGACCATGGGAAAGAATGTTCTTGACATGTCTAACTAGACAGTCAAAACTGCTGGACATTTTCTGAACAGATGCCTATTCTTCAGTGCCATATCTGTACACTAAAGTATCATTGGGAGCACTGTAAAGACAAAGATGCCCACAGTGCTCTAGTAAAGACATGGAGGATCAGAATTGGTTTTGTGTTATTTCAGGCACATTATATTTGACAATACTCTTGACTTAGATGATGGTTAGAACACATTTTACGACAAATTAATGCAGAACACCATGAAATTCCAAAAGGTTCACATACTATTTCTTGCAAATACAGATTTAACTGCCTTAAAAGACCATACAAATAGATATACATAAAAGACATACAAACAACAAACCACTCCAAATCTAAGGCAAGTTGAGTACACCAACTACTAAAAGAACTGACTAGTTCAAACCACTCTTATGCTTAACACAAAACTCAACAGCCACCCTCCAGATATGACATTGAAAAAATATGCGAGATGTTTCCTCAGATTTAGAGAATTACATACAAGAGTTCATGTTTTCTTCTCTGTGAACTCACTACCTACCATCATCCAAAAAAATACCAAGTGGAAAAACTGGATACTAAAAATGATAAATCTTAAGAGATTTTGTAGCAAAACAAATAAAAATCTCCACCAATCCAGACAAACTCTCCACACTCCAGTCAGCCTAAAGTTATGGAAAATTATTTATCATCAACAAACATAATACTTCTAAAATGAGATAGTCTAATAAACTGTTCCAACTCCCTCATTTAAATCGCAGCTTTGTCAGATTAATTTAAGCAGCAATGGGGATCCTAACAGAAAAAGACAAAGGAATTTTTATTAATTTCAGTTCTCTAAGTTCAGTGCTCATGTATGAAGATGAGGAATATGACTGATTTCTCAAGAATTTTTAAGATTTCTTTAACCTGGGAACTGTTGATTATTCCTGCCTTCACAGACCATTCTTCTCTTCCTTCCTCTTTCAATTTTCACCACCTAAATTTCTTGCTAATTCTTCCTACAGATACTTTGCTTTTGAGCAAGGAGGCGGCCACAGAAGACAAAAGGGAACAGCTTACTCTGAATTCAGTTGTCATCTTAGACCAAAAGAAGAAAAGACGAAAAGTAGATGTTAAGCGACAAGAGGACATGCACACAGACCTTAAACAATGGCACTCTGTTGGGATTGAGACCACTGGTGGATTAATGTGAGAAGAAATGAACTACCACAGAGAGGAATTTGGAGAAATTCTGCAAAGAAAGTTACTTAAAATCACACTAGAACACATTAAGATCAATATGAAAGCAAGGTTTTTGAACTGGACACAAAACCAACTTAAATGTGTTTGAATTACTTGGCCATCTTCACATACCAAAACACTGATCTATTGCAAATACAAATTTGTCTATGAAAGAGAAGTAGCCTATTAACATCAGGCACAGAAAATCAGAATAAATGCAATATTAAAATGGCTCACTGAAGAAACATGCTATTTTGCACTCAGGAAACTGATCTGCTTCAGGACAAGACTATCATAAAAATCGTTTCAGGGAAATTCTTTTCCATTGTGAAGCTATGTCATTTCAGGAAGACTGGCAAAATGAGCAGTGAGTAACATACCTTTCAGACAGAAAAGAACTCTCATGAGGAGAACTTAATATTTGACACGTCTGTAGGCTGGCAACAGATGATGCAAGTAGTTGACCCGATTGCAATTTGTCAGCATTAGATAAATCTGCATCAATTATTACGTGGCTCTCTATGTATTTTCTTCCAATTTTCGTCCTCAGGACATTCGTCAAGATAACTTTGGGTTGCCTGCCATATATATATGTAACAGTAAATCATAAATACTGCACTGAAATCTAGAGAAAGAAACTGTTTTGTTAAATTCATCTAGCTTAGAGGCTTGATAATCATCAAACATCATTACTTTCAGTCCCTTAGAGACAAAATAATATCCCACTATGGAACTTAAAATCCCAGGTAAGCAGATAAACACAAAATACCAACAAGAGACCATGGTGAGAAATGCTAGCCATATAATTTCACCTCAGCCAGATACAATTCACACTGCATTGGCTCTAACACATATCTAAGTATTTTTTAAAGAACTGGTAAATGTTTATCTCTGAAGAGTTTTCATGCAACATCTATACACATTTCTCAGAACTATGAGACAAACAATCTTGGTTTTCCCATGAACAAGAAGCCTCCAGTAGAACAGACTGAATTTTTCTCAAGCATTTAGACAACATGTAGAAAATGAGCACATACTCAAAAATACAGCATTCGATTTTGTCCCTCTCCTCACCTTCCAGGTGGCATTCTATAGAATAGCAATAGCAAGGCTCAGAAAAACATCCACAAGTGTTGGAAGAGACAAGCACCAAAATAAGCTAACCAGAAACATGAAGATGCAACTGCCCACTTGAGCATACAAATGTAAAAGAACATAACTTATTACATATGATGCCACTGCAATCAGCTTGTTGTATAGCCCCTAATTTACTCACTGAAGTTTCTCAAACTGGGATTTAAATTCTACCACTTCTGCTGCACTTTATATTGGATTAGGACGCAATATCATGGCCTTTTTTGAATCTGTTCTAAACAATATTGTCTTTTGGATATCAATCACACAATTCTCCTGTTGTTTCTAGTCATCCATAGCACGCTCCAGCACCGACTGCATGACGTCTGGGAAGCACTCACATCTCCTCTCACACTGAAATGTAAATCTGCTTTTAATCAGGAGACTACCTTACAGACAAGATGTTGCAGAGGCACATAGGTGATGAGCAATGAGTCTGGATGTAAGTTCCCATAAAGGAAGTCCCTAAACTGTTTACCATCAGAAACTCAGAGAAGAAACTCAGTTAAAAAACAGCCCTCACTCTAGCCACACTTTTTCCTGGGGATCTGCAATTGATCTGACCCTTTATGTCAGTTCTCCTACTTTTATGAGTAGTCTGAAATGGTAACAGTGAAAATACACCTTCATACTTTCTCTGAGGAAAGTGGGTAGTTAAATGCAAGAATTAAAAAAAGAAAATTGAACATTTTGAGCATCCAATGGCTCAATTAGAATTAACTGGTCTTGTCAGTACAGGACCGTCTAGAAGCCATCTGATCAGAAAACCAACGACAATACGCCTGGCACCACTTCTCTCTACAATTACCAGAAGGAACCAGATACAAGGGAATTCAATCGAGTCAGATGACATGAGAATGTAATTCATGAATAAGACAGCTGTGGTAAAACAAAGAATGGTATCTCATGAAAAAAAACAACAGCAAGGAAAATTATTTTGTTTAGCAATACAAGGCAAAGACAACATACCTTTCAGACAGAAAAAGGCTTTGGAGAGTAGGGTTTAAAATTTGCCATATCTTTAGGCTGGCAGCAGATGATGAGCGCGGTTGATGTGACTGCAGCTTGCCAGCATCAGAAAAATAAGCACCAGTTTTAAGTTGCGCCTGTGTGTATTTTCTTCCTATTTTCGTCCTCAGGACGTTCGTCAAGATAACTTTGGGTTGCCTGCCATACATATAATAATAAATAATTGGGTGCTGAGAACTTCTTAAGTCACATGAATTCAACAAAGCTTTTCTATAAGTTTAACGTCTCTGCATCATACCTTATATCTTCAGTAGAACTAAGTTCACTTCCCTGACAATTTACAAAGCAGTTTTTTTGGAGAAGAATCGCAAATTAATATCTTGCTCAGGATAGCCTTTCAAAGTTCCTTCTTCTAGCATCAATGACTAACAATTCCATATGTAAATGAAGAGGTAAACTTTCAGTGCAGAAGCAGAGAAATTTTGATGCCTTTTTCTTGCAAAATATTGGAAGTGGTGTTACTAAGGACTTACAAACTATTATGAAAGTGTACACTTCACCAGGATATGAAAACAAGTACTCCTACTGTGTCATCTTATTTTTGAACCATGAATATTATGGATTTTCCTATCACAAATAAGCTTATATGATCACGGGGCGGGGGGGGGGATAATCAAGAAGCTAGTAGAGTTTCTCAAGATTTGGAGGTTCCTACCGATTTCTGTTCAATTTCACTGAAGACTTCTTGAACTATGAATTATAAAATTAGTAAAAAGTCCCTACTGAGGCTCTTAAAACAAGGATCTATACTTTCCTGATTCTGTTAGATTGGTACTGAAGTCTTCACATAACGAATTAATTCTGCAGCACAGCCAGTAATCTGGACAGTTTCCTTATAAGCTGATAAGCATCGTACGTCACAGATAATTTGTCAGGAATGACTTGTCAAACAGATGAGAACTGGAATTGTTTTCCCTGGGCTAGTCCTAAGAGGACAGTGAAGTTCAGGCTCATTTGTTGGTTTTGAAAGATTAGTGAGGCAAGAATTGCTTTTTCTATTGCATGTCTTGTGTAACTCAATTAAATTGTTCACGTTGTTGAGCAAGAATCCTTCTTCTATAGGTACAGAAAACTTCTTACTGCTCTCATAACTGTTACACACAAGCTACAGTGAAATTTCTTAGGCAAATGACTACTGTTCTTCAGTGGGTTGACAACAGCGCAAGCCAATGTTTGGGAAATTGTATTTGTCCCATTGATATGCTGCACTCAGCTCAACAGCATGGTTACACAGTACCTAGTGGTAAACAAATAGAGGTATGGCACAAAAGCTGCCGAAGAACAGATATGCTCAATAAACCTTGTATTTTATTCTTTCAGTAGCTGCTGCATGTTGAGATTTCTTTTCCCTGGTTACTTACGATGTAAACAAGACATATGACACCCTCACTGAATTTGAAAAGGTAGTTGGGGAACCTGCATATAAGCTATGAATGCTGGTCAGTCTTGTGAGACCCGTGCATCACTGAGTGCCATAATGTGTAAGCAATCAGTTGCTTTCTCTTAGAGCTCTCCTACGCATTTACTACATCGATGGTCTCCAAACTTGTTTTGATCATACATCCCACCAGTAAAAGTATTTTGAGCATGTACCTTCAACATGTTTATTTAATTGTAACTTACACAGGTGTACAAATATGATATACAAATAAAAATTTTAAAAAAGGACACAATAAAGATGCAATAAACATTTTATTTAATAATTATTAAAAGAAAATATTTATTTCCTGTACCCCAACAGGTTGTCTTGCACACACCGCACCTTGGAGATCACTATCTAGGCAATGGGCAATAAACATAAATAGATTCCATTCAAAGCTAAGTAACTTAGGCTCAAGTGAAGGCAGTTTCTTCCACTCTGTGGGTTTCTCTTAGAAGTTTCCCAAAGAAAAAACTAAGTGGTAAAGAGCTAAAACTTTGTGTCATCTCCCACTGAAAAAAAAATTAAAAAAAATGCTGAGGGATTACAAAAACCAAACCTCTAAACATGGTACTCTGATGCCAGGAATCGGGTTTAATTAATTGCTGGAAAAACAATTCAGTGTTTCTGAAGTGAGAGATTGACCTTGCAAAGGCAATGAGACACAATACGTACAAAGATAGTCTCATGAAAAGACTGACCTAAACCACCAAAGTACTCAAGAATGTTTCAGGTAGAATCAGGGAAAGGCAGGTATATATTTATTCTTTCGCCTAGACCTGTATATACTCTAATACACTATTAATACTGTATATACTGTTAATGCAATTGTTGTTTTTAAAAGAACTTATTATAGCATCAGAGCATGTGCTTTGAATACTGTAGACCTAAAAAAAGTTTTTCTACACTCCAAAGATCCAGAGACCGGAATTTCATTTAAAGATACGCTTTAACTTCTGAAAAGCTTAGAATATAAATACAGGTCATGACAGACAATTTAGTAGCACTAATGACGGAGCCCAACTGCAGCAGCCTAGTGAGCATATACCAAGGCTGCAAAGTGTTCTTGATTTAGCAGAGGAAGCAAGAGATTTATTTTCTCCTGCAAGTCAAAAGTTCTAGCTTTTTTTCTGGGCTTCTCAAACATTCACAGTTCATACACAGTTTAACATGTCAGAAGAGCTTACAGTGACCAAATGTATATATGCTGTTTGTCCAACTGTGAGTTATAATAGAAGTAAGAAATATATAAGCAAAATGTAAGGAAATAAAGAACATATACAGTTTAAAAATGTACTAGAAGTTCAAAATTCAGCTACACAAGAACCTATTAGACTTAAGAAAATTTACAGCTACTAAAGCAGTTAAAAGGTAATTTCATGGTAAAAGTCATCAAGTAACTTGTGAAAATTTATCTTGTGAAGTTAGACATTTACTCTTGTGCTTTAATTTCCTCCTTACAAGTAAGGAGGACTCAAAGTACTGTAGAGGTTCATTACTAAAGAAACATACTGGAAAACACTTCGTCTTCCGGGTGTCAGAAGAAATGAAGCAACAAAAGACTAAGCCAGACGCTTTCCCTCTTCCTCTAACAGGACTTGAAATTGCAAATCAAACCCTGAAGTATCTAAACGGCATTTTTCCTCCAAATATAAAACAGCTGCAGAAGCCCTAGCAACATGAAGATATGAATCAGGGATTTTTTTTCTCCTTAAAAAAAATAAATTTAAATGTTTTAAAATCATTACTCTAGAGCACCATGAGACAACATAAATGTGTTATTCTCTACTGCATACTTCAGTTCTCCAGACTAGAATCATGCAGAGCCTAACACTCTATTTCCCAGCTCTAAATTCTGTCAGTTTTGATTGCTCCACCTTGTAGAAAAATCAATTTTTCTTTCTATTTTGTCAAACACAAGATATCATAATGAAATTTTACTAAATTTAGTTTGAATTTGCAAGGTAATTAGTCCAGTGGTGTCCTGGGTTTAACTAAAAACCCAGTCCTATTTAGTGATTTTTACTTTTCAGTTTAGTGTCTTCTAAAAGGCTATATTTTCTGAAGTCAGCAGCATGTTTTTGCAGACAGTGCCTGCTACTGGCAGTGATAACACCTGATGTTTACAGTTACTGCCTGGGACTGGAATGCAGAAAGGCTCTTGTTGCTCTTATTCCTATAGTGACCAAGGCCACGGCTGGCTCTTGTGTGCCACGCTGGGGGTGCCAGGTAGTAGGAGGGGTCACAAGGAAGTAAAAGGTTGCACCTCCGAGGGGTAACAGACAGGACAGGTGACCAACGAGAGAATTCCATCCCATATACGTCATATTTAGTATAAATTGAGTGATCACGAGAGTTTTGTCCCTTTTCGCCCTTTTTTCTTCTTTGCCCTTCTCTGCAATGGCCGGTGTCCAGGGAGGACTCCATCTGACCTCCTGCTTTTGATCCGGATCCTGAGTTCCCGAATCCAGCTCCCTGTATCCAGCTCCCACTGCCGCCGCCGCTGAGCCTGGGTTTTCCCCAGTGCCTCCTGTTCTGCAGCATCAGTGGGCATTGCTATCAGGGGAGGGAGTCGGGTTTGATATCGGGCTGTTATCTATAGTTGTATGTAGTTCTTTACTTTAATCATTCCACTATTATTTCTATTATTGTTTTATTAAAGCTGTTCTAGTTTTTTTTTCTTCTCTAACCCGAAAGTCTCTCTGCTTCATTCCCTTTTCCTTCCCATTTAGGGGGGGGGGAAGAGGGGGTTAGAGAGCATCTGTCCATGTTAGCGGCCAGCCCAGCCCTAACCCACGGCAAGTGGGAACATACACTGTCACAGAGTCCTTATTTGAATTGTATGATCAGGACTTGTAAAGATAACAGAAAAGATTCCAAGTTTTAGGATCATTAACAATGGAGAAAGCCCATAGCAGGAGGTCAAGGAGTCAGAAGCAGAATTTCCAATGAGACTGGATTTCATTACCTATAGTTTGTTGGCCATTTTGGAAATCCCTGTCTGACGTCCTTTGCTCACATTCCCATCAGGCTATGCCTTAACAGTCTTCAAGCCCCTCCACAATTTGGTTTACTGCTAGTTATTAGGTATAGAGTTTCTAACGTTTCCCATTCCTTTGATTTAAATAGGGTTTATACATTTTTTTAAGCAAGCGTCTTTGCAGAAATGATCTTACAATTTAAAGCACACACACACACACCCCCTCCACACAACTAGCTTTGCACTAGAAATCTGTGCAAAGGAGAGGAATCTTCAACAAATAAGGAAGAAAACAGTAAATATTTGGCTATTCTTAAAAGATTTTGGTGCCGGGCTAAAGCATCACTTCTTACATGGCACCAGCTTTTGTCTGAAGACCTTGATAGGACAGTTGCTTATGACCTGATCTTCAGAGCTATACAGCGGCATCAGAGCCTTTAACGGCTTCCCTTTCTAAAGGAGGAATGGCATCTGTCAGAATTTCTTGAAAAATTATGTGATTAAGACTGGACATAAAATAGGAAAAACATCTACACTTAAGCCAGCCCGTACATCTGCAAACACTGGTTGGGGCACAGATCCTTAAATTACCCATTAAACTGTCCACAGAATAAAGTGAGCAAGTCATGCAAAAGATATTTCAAAAGATAAAAATTAGTGTCAAGCAGAAAAAAGCAAGCAAATTATACATTAAAAGCAAGTCCCACTGGCAGATGCAGGAAGTAACCTGCACAACAGTTAGACTGGAGGCATCTTGGTGAAGGAAAAGCAAAGGTGATTATTTTTGTTTCTACAGCTAATATCCCCCCTTATGTACCTTCACAAAACAGAAAAAATACATAAGGTAATGAAAAAAACACTTACACATGTAAGGATGAAGTGGGAAAAAAATATAATATATATTAAAAAAATGCTGTTAGCTGCTCCTAGCAAGTCTCCTATCACTTTCCACAGGCACAGGACCAAAAGGTATTAATTGTTTGTACACCTTTAGGGAAAATACTTGACCTCTATTTCAGTGAATAATCAGAGCTGCTCCAGTTCCTTTCTGAATGCTCATATTTGTAGCCACTGGTTCCAATTTGTTTAAATCTGTATTAGAAAGTCATTAAAACAAGACTGCTTTTGGAGTAAACTATGAATAGTTTACATCATCATCTTCAGGCCTACATTCTTCTACTAGTAAGCGAAATTTTTGGGAAAAAATTACTTTGACATTGGGATGCCACATACCATGCGAGAGACACTCCGTCAGGTCCCATAAAAGCTAAACATCTGTCCTGGCTTTACAGAATAAAGCCACTGATAAGACTTGATGTGCATTCAGCTATCTGGGCTTCTGCAGCACACGCATAAGCTCAGGAGGTCCTTGGCCTTTCAGAGCCCAAAGGAATAACGTGATGCACTATTATGAACATGAGACTCCAATTGCCACATTCACTGACTACACCCTGTTGAGAAGAAAATCACTGTCCTCCTCCTACTTCAAGGCCCTGACCTTTCATCAACAGATTAGAAGTCAATGTTTTAACAGTAAACATGAACATCACTACTAATTTCCATGTTTTACTGGACCACAAAGTTATTACTGCCAAATTGCCCTTGCTGGGGAAAGGGGAAGCAGTAAGTAAATGACTGCTACAAAAACTTGACTGCTACAGGGTCGGTACTTGATTCAGTTGTGACATTAATTTCAATTATCATTTAAAATGCTGAGCTGAAACAACCACACACATCCTAAGTACTCCTCTCATCCCCTCCCTAAAGGAAACTTCACAGACTAAGATTAAAAGCTTGAATTTCAGAACAGTGTTCTATTTTGTTTTTTTTGGTTTAGTTTGGTTTTATTTCCCTCTTGTGAGAATGCAGGAGTAATACAGCTGGATGCCTCTACACTCTATTTCCAGGTGGTGACGGCTACCCTTGAAATGCTGTTATCTGCTTCCTCCACAATAAAGAAAGTTTTGTAAGTGGGATACAAAACATTAACTGACCTATTAATTGATACTTAACTTTCTGTAACAACACTAATAAATTGAACTATTCATATTTCATGACAGTCGTAACCTGTTTCGTGAGACAATCATGGGAACATGCAAGAGATCTCCAGTGTATAAGAAAAGCCCGCTCACAGCAGGGGTGTTGGAGCAGGATGATCTTTAAGGTCCCTTCTAACTCAAACAATTCTATGTTTCTAAGACTAAGGAACTAACCCGCCCCAAGAGCCCTTTCTGAGACCAGAGATGTCCATCTTCAAGAAAGATTACAAAACGCTAAATACACAAATAGAGATGAACCAATTTTGAGATGACTTCTTACCCAATTGATTCTTCATCATTAGAGCTGTGTCTGTTGCGGTCCTTTTGCCGTTTTCTTTTTGTGGAAGGCTCTCTGTTGTTGGCACTTAATTTCCACTGAAATAAAACAAATAAAATTAGCAGGTTCCAACAGACATGAACGCTACACTAGAAAAAAGGAACAGTGCCAGAGATTTAAACAATGCAACTGATCAAATAAAACAGAGCCACAAAGAGTATATACACCAATCCCACAAAGAATGAATTTGCTTGATTTAAAGCACGCACGTACCACCTGATATTGAATGGAACTTTTTCCTCCTAATAAAATTTGACAAGACAGGACAGTTCAGTTATTTTCCTACTTAACAAAGTACTATCCCAAACAGGGTCTTAAATGTTAGGCTTGTTTTACATAATGACAAACAGGCGAGATAACCTCTACTTTAACTCCATGCATTTTTGCCAAATTATATTCCATTCAAAGACATAAAATTCTGGGAAGGAAAAGGAATCTGAAGGTTTGCTAATTGGATGGCAAAACTCACAGCAGAAAGACTTAATTTTCCTCAGGTGCTCTTACCTTACGCGAATGCACTTATATTTGCAAATTAATGAAGTTTTACCGAAACATACTGTTATTTCTGCAATTCCAGAAACCTACCTCCCTCTGCTATTACTTCCTCCTAACTTCTCCTATTTTTCATTAACGTAAAAGATAATAAACCAAACAGCTGTTTTAAAATCATGCTAGTCAGGTTAAAAATGGACTTACTTTCTTTTCTGTTTAAGCATAGCATGAAAAATTCATGCCCACACATATTTATGTATTTTAGTGGACCCTAAAAGGTGTATCTTAAATTAATCTTTCCCTGCCATAAGGGCTGACCATAATGGACAATATCCTCATTATTAAACCAGCTGACAGCAAGAAATTGCATTCAAGGTGTTCTCCCCTCCTCCTGGCTTCATAATCTAGTTCACCTCCTACCACTGGTTTTCAAGCATTTTAGAGATCTATATGCCCAAATCGCCAAAAGCTGCACAGAATTTCACAAACAACAAGGAGCAAACTCTAGCAACATTAAATACAACCAGGATAGACCTTTGAACAGATAAACAATAATATTTCTTTCAATTATGACACCTCATGACTAATCTTTTCTTTTAAAATAGAATGTAAAGACTAGTTAGTCTTTAAAGCATATGAAGCCCTCTACCATGTGGAAAAGTCTGAAATATATAAACACAAGTAGGAAAAATAAGAAATTGAAAAATAGAGAATACATCAGCAATAGGAAGGGGGAAAAAATAAAATCACCCAATCTAACCACTATTTTTATAACGGCAAAGACAGGAAGAATTCAATGCAAGTGTTATCTGGCTCCGCCTAAGAAGCTGCAGCTTGTAACCACAGGAGACATTACTTCCAACTTCAAAACCTGACTGCAACCAGATGCTCTGCTCACTTAAAGTATTTCACATCACAGAACACAACCACACAGTGAGTTTGTATTGCAACATGCTCAAATGACCGAGCCTACCAAGGGAACTGGGTCACATTAGCACCACTACCTTAAGTCAAAAAAATTCCTAGCTTCCCTCCCTAGGTTTCTAAAACTCCTCTGTGGGAAGGAGCCTGTTTGTTCAGCCCTGTCATTCTAAAAGCACGAAAACCAGCAATAAACTCTCTGTGCTGAGCTGAAGGAGTAAAGAGTAGCAAAACAGTCTCTAAAACTTGGCATTTTAAAAATGCTTACTCAATTTGGAACAGATTTATAGAAGCAAGTATTTGCTTCTGTATGTGACTGAGAAGATGAGATACTATAAGTACTCTTACATTCTTTTGGTCTTAATACCGAAATCAGTTATTCCTGTATTAGCACCTAAAATTCTGCCAAGTCATACAGTACTTAACATTCTCGTAAAGTTTAAGCTCTCGGGTACAAATAAAGGCTAACTAAAAACTCAATCAAAACAAAGAGTTTGGTGACCTGAATATAATCTAAAAGTTCAGGAATCAGAAGACAACTAAAAAAAAATTAAAAAAATAAAATGTCTTTAAATCAATTACTTTCAAGATAATTTCAAAATACATCTAAAGATCAACTCTGCTTTTTAACAATTTGAGCTGGCCATATGGCACTTCTGTAACTGTGTGCTTCCAGGCAGATTTCAGACCTACACACTTGTCTCATTCTAAAACAATCTGGGTCAGATATTGGACACAAGGCAGCACTCAGTACTGGAAAAAATCCAGCCTCCAAAACAGAACCAAAACTCCATGTAACACTCTCCTACACACTTTACACTCTGAAAAACTTCTCTTTACCTCTTTTAAAGGGTAGTCCCAATGGTGGGAGCCCGGGAGCCTTGCCAAAGGGGACTGAACTTGGACATCCTCTGACTTGGTGTGTGTTTTCTTCTTTGGTATACGAAACTGAAAACAGATGATGTTACACACATGACAAAACTAAATTATCCACTGTTGCTATGAGCTCACATAATGCCACGTACAAAGCTTTCCTTACTGTCAGCAAAATAACAAAGTTGCAATGAAAACACTGTCCTGTGACTTTAAATGCATTCCATATTGATGCTCAATGCTAAATCATGTGTCATACCACAGGATGAGCTAGTTTTAACACATGAACTGTCTCAAAAGCTCTTGCTGCTTCCTTAACTTCACAACAACTTCAAATATGTGCCTAAAAAGTGAGAACCAATCTACTGGCACTTAAGAGTTTTCTTAGTTGCTTCTGATTTGTTTACACTCTAGTTTAATCATCCCAGTTTACAGAATCATGAAGGAAAAAGATGAAACAGATGAATGTCATGACAAATATTATATCATGTTTGTGCTCCCTCAAAAAAAAATTCCCTCATTATGAAGAGCAACTGTATCTTAGAAGAGTAAAAGTATTTGGTATGATGATTTAGCATCAATACGCTATAATGTACTCCAAATAGTATCAGCTATCATCATTGCCAAGCTTTGCAGAAACCGAAACAGAGTTTCAAAAAGTAATTATTTACAGATAAAACAGTAATTTGCAGAAATCTGCCAATTCAGGAAAAATATCTACGTTCATTCACTGGAATTCAAAACAAAAGGGTCAAACTAAATTCCTACCAGTTCATCAACACCAGGAAAGAGGGTGACATTTCCTATCAGTTAATTAAACCAGTTAAAATAATATCAACCTAATGAATAACAGTGCAAGCCTTGCCATTTCTTCAGGTATTCTGAGAAGCAAAATGTTACACTGCAAACACGGCCAGATTAGAATGTATCAGAGAGGGAACACAACATTTGCATTTTTCAGACAACTACATCTATCTCAGCAAAGAAAAAGTTGAAGCTACCCCATTTGATGGCCACTGCCAAGTGTATTATAAATTTAAATTGCAAGCTGCCAGATATTCTACTTTCTAATATGAAATTATAGGCAAAGGCTCTAGAACAGAGATATTAACAACTTAACAATTAACAGAAAAATTAGCTTCATAGGTAAACCTTCAGACAGACCATAACTGAAGCATAGTGTACCATAATTCCTCAGTCCAAATTGTGAGTGCTCTTATTCCTTCTCTACACCTCTTTGAAACAAATATTATTTTTTTTTTAGTAATTAACCCCAAATTTGTATACATTACCCTCAACTGCTACTCAAACTCTGTAAAAACAAATATGCCTTTAATAACAGATTCCTCATGTTATAAAGGATGTAAATGTTATATACAGGCAACAACTTCCAATACAAGTACCTCCCTCCCATTTCAATAAGGATATGTATATAAAGACTGAAATAGACATCTTCTTATTCAAGAACTCCTGCAATTACACTGCTTGAGGGTTTTGGCTGGTTGGTTGCTTTGGGTTTGGTTGTTTGATTAGTTTGGTTTTGCACTTCTTTTTGTCCTTTTTGAGAAGTGGCCTACAAATATGTTTTATCAGTCAGAATGCATTGCTCTGATCTGCACCTTAACGGTCAGGTACAAATTTCTTACTTCAGAACTCCTCCTGCTTCCTGACTAGTGGTTTCTGTCATAAACTTCCTAAGAACACATATTTATCCAAAATTTTAACATGCATTTAAAGTTACAGAGGTTCAGACATCCTCTGTAAGAACAGATAACACTGAGAACAGGTAAGGTTAGAGTCAGAAAAGAGACAGATGGACAGACAGAAAGGGATAAAAAGCACGGTACATTCATCAGCAAAATTTCCACCTCAGCATACAACATCTTCCCAATGCTTGCACTCATTAAGATGATGTTGGCTTGCAGTGCCCACAATTAACTTACCAAGCAAGCACAAAGTCAAAAGGTAACCAACAGAGGTCTGTATCTACGGTAAGTGCAACCTATGCAGTTGCCTCAGCTTTCCCCTAATAGAAAGTGACTAACTGAACACATACATGTGCATACGCACTTAGGTGACTCCTCATCTAAACAAGCAGTACTTTTCTGAAGGTTCCCACCTGTAGGAGCAAGGGTCAGAAAAAGTGCATAAACAAGGTGCTGGAAACAGCTTACTTCTAAAACACTAGACAGTTCTGACCTTGGCTGATCAAACTATCTGCTGTGCCTACATTTGTTTTCATTGGTGCTTCCATTGCTAGACTAATAGGGATCTTATACAAAAAAATAAACACTAGCATAAATGGTCTCTGAACACATCTCTGCAGATAACTAAATATTATGCAGTTATGCAGGTGCTCTTCTTACTTAAGCACTACTCTTAATATTTTAGACCTCCGCCTAGGTCTTAAAATATCCTTGAAAACACACCGGTCATGTACAGTCAAATGTTAAACCTATCACATTAATACATGTTCAACAGTAGACATTACTATTGACTGTTTCTCAGGAAAGAGAGCTCCAATAAAGCGAAAGCTGGACCACTGGAGAATTAATTTGTTGTGCAAATACATCAGAACACCCTAGGATTGCACAGCCTCAAAGTAAATTCTTGCAAATTGTAGAAACACTTACACTGACATGACTTGAAGACGATGTTCTTCCTTCCATTATTTTCTCTACTGAAAAAAAGATACAAAATAAGCTTTGCAATTTCTGTTTTATTCATCCAGAGAAAAGCAGGACCACAACAGCAGGTACTAAACAAGAAAAAGGAAATAATTTTTGAGCAAGCTAGTGCAAGGAAAATTCATTCGTAAAATGGTGTGGTTTGGAAAGGACCTTTAAAAGGTCATCTAGTCCAACCCTACCATGGGCAGAGACATTTTTCACTCGATCACACTGCTCAAAGCCCTATCCAACCAGACCTTGAATACTTCCAATGGTGGGGCACCCACAACTTCTCTGGGCAACTTGTTTCAGTGTCTCACTACCTCGAAAAAAATTCTTACATCCACTCTTAATCTATCCTCTTTCAGTTTAAAACCATCATGCTTTGTCCTGCCACCACACGCCTTGGTAAAGAGTAACTTGCAGCCACAGGAAAGACACGTGCTTGGGCCAGGGTCTGCACTGTCGGCATGGGCAGAACATTTAACAAAATTTTCCTATAATTTATCTTTAGCAAAAGCATTTACCGCTTTACTCCATCCCCTGACAAGCACACAACTAATAAGCAATTCAGGTTTTGATTATAAAGTCATGAAGAGCCACAGGAGACATCTGTAACACTACAGAAGCTCCAAGAATAAAGGATTCCTATTAACAGATAAAATTCCTCCTTAGTACAAGAACACAGTTTGAGAGCTTCTAGCAGTTATAGGGGTTTATTCTTTCTATAAATACACTGTATGACTCCGGTGTAAGACTTTCGAGCCTTATAGTTAGCTTGAAGCTTCTCAAGAAAACCTTTGAGTCTGTCCACTTTCATTTAACTTGATAGTTTTTCAACTCCCAGCCCCAGTCTCCTGGCGTGGGCAACAGCAATACCCACAGACTGCTACAGAAAGGCCAAACTACTGCCTATTCTGACACCTGCGAAGGGAAAAGGCTGACAAATGGTGGTCTTCTGACAGCTCTGGGAGGGAGGCAGCGGCACCAACCAAGGCTGGCACCACCCGGGCTGTCACCGCAGAAGCCCGACCCGAGCAGGCC